ACTGACGCATGCACGCACGGACAGACGGACAGACAGATGGACGGACAGACTCAGGAACTCACAGACGGTCGGAGACATGTATCCTAACATGTATGATCTGTGTACTAAATTTGAATGAAAACTGACAAAGCATGTTCAAAATACGACATTTTCAAAAAACAAGATGGCTGCCAGTCGGCCATCTTTGATCCAATTGTGAAATAAATCGTCATGGACATGTATCCTAACATGTATAATCTATGTACCAAGTTTGAATGAAAACTGACAAAGCATGTCCAAAATACAACATTTTCAAAAAACAAGATGGCTGCCAGTCGGCCATTTTGAATCGAATTGCTAAACCACTGCATGTGCATATGTCCCACATAAGGTACTATGCACATGCAAAGAATGAACGGAATCGGTCCACAGGATTCTGAGATATGACTCCGGACGGACGCACGGATGCACGGACGCACAGACGCACGGACGGACGGAGACCGAATTATAAGTCCCCGTTTTCGGACTTCGTCCGAACGGGGACTAACAAGCACAACAATTATTATTATTATTATTTTATTAAACTCTTAGTGAAATCAAATTAACGTAAGATCAAATCCGCTAACTTGAAGATTGACAGTTTTTCTCATTTTATAGTACGACAATGTCTTCAAAATTATTTTAAATAAACACTGACATGGAACTCATAAAACTGCCATGCTGAGTGTATCATATATTGTTCAGCGGGCGACCGACTAAATGTAAGCAACGCCCACTTACAGCGACGTGCGTGGGCCTAGAATCACTTCCGGGTCCAGCGATCATACTCGTATATGTTTTTACCTTTGTACGGAGGTACCTGTGGTCACCGAGACTTGGGTCATTCAGACACTTCGGCGCTGTATCCCTTCTTTTCACAGTCAACGAATTTACGGGATGTATGATAATTCGAAATAAAGTTCTAATAGCAACCAAAGAACCGTAAAAACAAGCAAAACCCCACGTGATCACGGATTCTATAATAGACGCCATGTTGCAACGGTAACGCCCTCTAGTGATAAAGCGAACGTTGCTATTGTTTTGTTCTGTACTGTAGAGTCCCTCTATGATAGATCTGTAGTCAGATATCATCTATTCAGAAATCCCTCTCTCCATGAATACTTGGAAGCGATTTCCTGTAATATTAGACTTTGGAATTCATGATAGTAGAAGCTGTACCAATATATTTATACTATTTGCTGTAATCAAAAACATACAGCAAAAACGAACGCAGTGGACTCCCGCAAGATTAGTTTACTACCTGGAAAAAGTGGGAGTGCTCCACAACCAGCTGAAACGCACTTGAACCCAAACAGATTGACGTTGGACGCTTTGGATCTCGACAAATGACGTTTTCGCCAAGAAATGACATAATTTTTCTAAAATGGCTGAAAATCGTAAAAATGGGGGTCAACAAGATCTGCTTGGCCGTTAAAATGGTAGTCAGAACAAGGACGAATAAACGTATACTTCACGTATGGGAGACCCCCCCGAGGTTTTACTAATAAGCGGACTTTATTAACGGCATTCTGTAGATTTATAATTCTCTTGGTTTTGATTGTGTGTATATTGCTATCAATGAACATTTAACACAGCACATTTATCTAATTTTAGATAACAATTAAATAAATGTCTTTGCAGAAAATATTAATTAATCTATGCAACATACTACCAATGCATTGCAAGATAATGAAATGAATGTGAACAGATATCAATACTCGTGAGCGCATGCAATTTACTCATTATGACAATTTCGCATGCATTGCATTCCATCTTATGGCTCGGGTAAATTTATCAGAAAACGATTTGTTTTATGAGAACAACTTAACCCACTGAATCCGGTCTTCAAATGCCTCATCACATTTCAACTTAAACAGGGTGGCAAACGTTTATGAGTGTCTGTTAATTGAAAAGTTCATCCGAATATGTTCAAATCGCTAAACGGGGACTACCACTTCGACCATGTCACGAAAACAGGAGGCAAGTGGCGACACCGTAGTATAGATGTGCGCCCTCTATTGGCATATTTAAATACCCAAGTATCAAAATGACGCACTGACGTCATTTTAGAGAACGCATAGAACGCGTGTCTGTGTTGACGATAATAATGACGATGTTCGATTCACATTTATTCGCAGTTTACAGATAGCACAACGTAGACGCATACTTCCAGTGTAAAGCATTTTCACTCGCTCAAATCAAGGAATACATTGAGAAATGGCAGGTAAGTCAGACCAACCATTAGATGATTTGTTTGATTTATAATTCCTGTTAAATATGATAACGGTGTTATTTTGTAGTAACGGGATATTTAATATGCACAATGTTACCGTATTGTTGGGGAAAAGTTGGCATGTAAATAATGCTAAGATCGAATTCATTGGTATAATAGCCGAAGTAATGTTGTGTCGTTTTGTTGCAGATCTAAAGACTTCGTATAGCAGTTTGTCTGCAGAGACATCGTTTACCCCAATGACACTGTGAGTATAATTTTCTCAGAATATGTTTATATTAAAATTGGCGTATTTTTCTTGCTCTAGTTTAATTGTATGCCTACGGTGTCTGTCAGTTTCGACACTCAATTTGCACGCACCAGATGAATTATTTATACTGTTTTTTTATCGCGTATATAGATGCATCTGTATATTGATTTTAATGTAGTATTTTCCGCCTATTACCTTATAGAAATCAAGCGAGTGAAGCTGAGCTATTCTGGAGTGCCATTATAGTTCGAAAGGCTACGAGTGACGGTCAACTAGCATTCCTTAAAGAAGTTCAACGTTTACATGGAAATGCGCAGAGAAGTAGCAACGTTGACGGTCAAATTGGTACTATAATCGATGGTTCAAAACCAGACGATGCAGGTGATAATAGTTGTAACGCATTGTTTCACGAAACATGCGAGTTTTTGGCACCGTTTGTAAAGTCGGAAAGTCGGAATAAATTGAAAAGAGATATCACCAAAGAGGAGTCGGCTATAAGCCACACCATTGTTGACTTATCTGTGGCTCGAGCGAAGTAGCAGTTCGCTAAAGAACACATCGACAGAAATGATGTAACAAGTTTAAGTGTTGACCTGTTCGTTAAAGATTATGTGCAAGAAGTGATCGCTGGGGGGGGGGGGCACTAATGTATTGTGGCCAGTATGTTGGACAAGACCGATCTAAGACTGGCAATAGTGGCATCCACTCACTTTCCACGGAGAAGACAAGTCGCAGTATTTTGCAGACTGATCCATGTAATATATTAATATGTTCAGGACAAGTAAAAGTAAAAGTCAGTCACAAACACCGGACACATGTACTGTCGGAAAACATCTGAGAGATGTGGATCTTTGCGAGTCTCAAGAACTGCTGTCGGACAGGGCGCACGATCACTGGGACATCACGGAAGAAACCACATCGGATGTCGATGATGTTGTTGAATGTCCTTACTGTTCGATAAAAGACGAGTGTCTGATAACGTCTAAACCAAATTTTGACGTGAAAGGCGCCACCACGCGAAACATCGACGAGACCTCTAATCGTAGGGAAAAGAAAAAGAAATCCAGGACCAGATCATTCTTGAAATTATTTAAATGGAAGTCTAAGAAGCAAATTGTGGACGGGAAATACGTTTATTCGTTGGAAAAAGACGTCACTGTGCAAGTTTCTGATCGACTCGCCGATAATGACGCACAATTGAAAGAAGGAAACAAACCTGGCAGCCAAGAACAGAGTGACAAAACGACAACTAAAAAAGATAATTGGTTCAGAAGAATAAAAAGGAGGATGACGAAAACAAAATTGACGGTGCATAAATAGAGGAAATCTCTAAATGCTGAATCATTTCTGCCAAATTGAAGTTCGTGGTGGACAACGGCAATCTATAACAGATACATTATAATTAAAAGAAAATCGTACAAATGTGACATTTGAATATATACTACAATAAAATATTTGAGTTTTTAACTTACTGTCATTATTTCGAATATGAGATAATACTAGTACGTTCGTGCTTTAAAGGGCGGTAGTCGTCGCGCCACGCATGCGCGAGATATATGGGTCTCATATAAACAAAGATGGCGACTTGACTGTTCAACGAGTACAAACTGAGACAGTAAATCATTCAAAAATGGTTGTGTATTCACATACATGCAAGTCATTAATATTTAAAGTTTTTACGGAGAAAGAAGGATGTGTTTTCAAGAAAGTGGCCATTTTGGAACATTTTCTATAGGATTCCATGTAAACACATTAATCCATGGAAAACTCGTACTAAGATTCAAAATTCTCCAATTTTTTGTGACAGCCATATGTAGCCCTCATAACATGACATACAATTTGTTTTAGGATAGGTCATAGGATATGATGGACCAATAAAACACGCATTTTTGATCAATTTTCGTGGTCGTTTTTTATGAAACAATTAGTTCGGTGAACTTTTTAATACCCCTTTGCTGGATTTTTAAACATTTTTATATGGAACATTATAAGATTAAGCCATATAGTAAAAGCCAAGGAAAACCAGCAATAATTTTAATGGTAACCATGGTAATTCTCTTGTGTGATCTTATACTTCACTACATTGTAGTGTAGCAGCACCCCCTTTGCATTATGTTTTTATGAACACACTGTAACACAAAAACAAAGACATTTTCTTAAAGGTTTATTCCAACACTTGAAGTTCATGGCGACACATTTATTAAGGGGCTTACCCTTTGATTTCGGGAGTGGGTGGGTGGTGTGATTTTGTTGGCAATTTTTATCACAATATGTGAAATTATTTTTTTTTTCATTAAAATTTAGTTTGAAGAACTAATTCTTCTCAAATCTCTCAACCCGTCCCCCAAAAATTTGGTGCACCCCTAAAAGCTCATAGCTTTACTTGTGTCTACTTTTGTGGCATCTTTTCTGGAGAGATTTGAGACTTTTCAACACTTTTTTTTTCAAATCATGAACAAAAGTGAAGAAAAGTCAGAAATCTTGCAAGAAAAGCAGCCATAAACAATGAAATGGGTGCAAGTAATATTATGGACCAACACCTACACACATTATCTCTGTATGTAATAATAGTTTAGTCATAACAATAAAAATAGCAGCAGACTTCATCACAAAAAGTCTCTCTCAAAGAAATGCACATCATTATGCATTCAGTGTCAATATTACATGTAACTTTACCACATAGTCACACATTAAGATCAGATATATACAAATTACCATCATAATTCCAATTACTACACTGGTTTGGTATAGGGGTAGCAACAACTACCATATCTTCATATAAGGATTTTTCTCTCCAATTTGTGTTTTGATGCCAAAAATGGTTAAGAGTGGTAATTACTTAGCTGACAACGATGTTGTTTTCGGTGTGGGTCCCACACAATGGTCACAACATACGCAATATATTGTTGGTTTAGGAAATTCCTGACATCGAAAACAATATAATTCATCTGTTCATAAAATGCAAAATGGAAGTGTTCGAAAATGTTACAAATTTCTTATTTGGAAAATATGCGTCAAGCTTACATTACGTGTGAACACACAAAAGCGATTTAGTACGTGACAGAAATAGAATCTAGTCACTGAACACAAACGTGTTATAGTTGTCATTACTGGCAGGGAAAAGATGTATAATAATAATAAAGTTATCACGAGAAGACTGCAAAGTATGCTCTCAGGCAGTATGGGAATGCATCAACCTTGCGTGCATTGGTTGATATGATTGCTTTAGCGCCTCTGTGACATTTTGTGGTATTTTTGAAATAACCTCATAATATCGATGGTCAATACAATGTTGATGATAATAAAATGGAATACTCCCAATGTTGGTTTGTGGTTTAGACAAAGGTGTGACGGGTTACTCTCACACTAGAAAAGTTTTGCTGTATATAGTATACATGAATTTCGAATGAACGATACATAGTAATTCAACATACATTTCCAATAGCGTAGTTTGCATTTTCATTGATGAATGTTTTCGTCTAGTTGTCAGTAGGATAAAAATAACCTGATGATAGTCTAAGCCGAGCTTGCCATTTTGTGTATAATTAAAGAGTTATTATGTTATGATAATCTTTTATGTATGATAAACATTATTATACTCCAGTTACCTTCAGTACCGGTAGTTTTCTACTTGTACTAAAAAATATGAGATGAAGAAAAAAATGACTGCTGGTTATTTTACACATCCACACTAAAATGCTAGAATGTACTCGATTCATTCCAAAATACATCTGCACTTGTTCCAACATTCAAATTTCGCCTCCTACCAACAGTGAACCAATTCCAGGTTACTGACACATTCAAACATTGCATTAGATGCAGAAGCGTTGATGGTATGAGAATAGTGTCAATGAATGTTCGCACAAACGTTGTCATTTTTAGCTGTTATCTCTCATTAAATTATTACTACATTACAAGCAGATAAATGATGTACAACAATCTCAACAATACCGCAAAATGATGGAGACAGGCGGTACAGGGTGGCATTAACAACATCTATGCATCAGTAGATTCAAACGCTTAAAGACGTCAAAAGTCACTGAATTTTCAGAGCCGCATAATTTTCTCTTGCTTAGAACAATCAGGAGAAAAATGTCTATCGAAACATTAAAACGACTTACAGCACTTTCATGGAACATCCAGTAATCAGGAGCAAAATAAAAAACAAAACAAAAAAACTTTTAATAAGAAAATGTGAGCAGCCATACAATTGTACATATCCATGGTTTACGCATTGCGTAACCACAATGTAAGTTTCAACCTTATGTAATGTGTTATCTTTTCAGCTACACAGCAGTTACAGTTTACACACTGAGTCAGGTTCCATACAATGCATGTTAAATATCATTGTTTAGTAGAAATTCAAACATGCACTGCGCAATGCTTTGAAATTTTTAATGACTTGCAGCATTCATGATAATTTGTCTTTTATGAAATTAATATTTATAGTTTGCAGCTTGTACTCAACGTTAAGTTATGAATATTTTCACAAATGTTAGAAATTGAAATAAATATAAAAAAAACAAGGGTTTGATGGTAGATGGAAATAAAATATGTTGATTATTGTAAAGAATAAGATTAATTACATCCTGCTTGTAAATTTCAAAATCAGAAAAATAGAAAGTACTGAATATTAAGAGCTTCATCATGGTTTAAGAATTTGTTGTATAAACTGCTGATTTGCAAACCAATCTCATATGGCAAGCAATAAACAATATGACTACAAGGTCACACATCCTGGTACTTACGCATGACCCCAAAAAGATCACACATCCTGGTACTTTATAGAGGTCAGGGAACTACCAATGAGAATTGCTTTATTAAAAAATGCAAGCAGTTAAGTCTTTGAAGTTCAAAACCAGTTTAACATCACAAAAATTGAGGTTTATTATTGCTGTTTAAGGGCAATGCCCCAGGAAAATACCAGGATATGCAACTTTAAAGGGCCTATATTTGTGTATCTTCTTCCCAAATGAACTGTTGCTGGAGTTCATGTCCGATTCAGATTCATCTTCGGATTCAATTCAGAAATCTGCAGGATTCAATATCATTACCAAGTGAATTCTAGATCTATACAATATGCATCTGGCTCATGGTTTCATGGGATTTGCAACATATTTGCATATATATTGACTAATTTGATCATGGTGACTCGATCCCATTAAATGTGCATTTCTACAAATGATAACAATTTGTTTCTCGTGAACTTACATTCATCACATTTATTCAGAGAATGTGAAATGCCTCAGTGACTACGAATTTGTCATAAGCTGAACATCGCATATAACCAAGACTGACCGCAACTGAGCTCTTGATCATTTCTTCGCATGGTCACATTTCAAGAAAACATACTTTATGTTACACGACTTTCATTTAATTAAAAAAAAAAGATTCGCACTGAGAAATAAAATATAATGTAACTTTTGGAATGAGTCAGTTTTTGGTCCATGAAGAAGTATCAACAGCCAAACTTTGTTAGTGCGTAACCTCACTCACTGACGAATACATTAGAAGCATGTTACGAGTAAACATTCCAATCAGCTGTCATATGTCTGATTTCCAATCGCTTTCAGAATTTCTTTCTGGTATTTTTCCACTCCAGTATCCACAGAGGAATCCCCAACTTGTCCATCTTCATATCTATCAATTAAACAAACCCAGAGAATATGAGAGAAGATCATTTCTTTGTGGCATTTGAATAAAAAGTCTGTTGTTACAACAGAGAATGGAATCCAATTTTCCATATGAAAAGATTCATTATTAAGTTTTATTAATTCACAGTGATTTTCAAGTCAAACTTTCACTCAGATGCTGAAAATAATATGTTAAGTTATATAAAGAACACCAAAAAAGCCAAACCTAGTTGAGTTTTCATACCAAGATAGTATATAAACATAGCTTAACTATTACAAACTTGTTCAATGTGAATTTAGATTAAACAAACCATGCATGGCACAGTCCCCATTAGTTATCATATTTAAGATATATAGTTTTGTTTATAGTAATATAGCTGGAATATAACCATGTCAGGAATATGATTATGATGATTGTTTAACATTAAAATAATTGACATTTGTATCTGATATCAAACAAGTACTTGTCCATATTGAGAGATATTGCTCTGGAACAGCATTAATTAAAACAAAATCAGCCATTTTAAATACATGTATATATCTATAACATGATGTATAACGAATAAAATTTAAACATAATCAGTCAAAGAATGTGAGGGATATGGCTCTAGAAGCCCAATTTTTTAAAACAAAATGGCCGCCAGTCAGCCATTTTGAATCCGATCTGAAAAATAAAATGCTGTGCATCAGGAACCCGTAATGTCTGATGTATGTCATGAGTTTGAACAAAATTCATCCACAAATGCAGAAAATGCTTGATATTTGATGATTTTTTAAGCACAAAAATGGCCACCATTTGGCCATTTTGAATAGGATCATCAAACCAATATATCTGTATATCCACGACATGATGCATAATGAATATGAAAAATTTGAACATAATCAGTCAAAACAAGTCAGAGATATGGTCTAGAAGCCCATTTATTAAAATAAAATGGCCACCAGTCAGCCATTTTGCATCTTACCTGAAAACAAAATGATGTGCATCAAGGTCCTATAATGTACAATGTATATACTAAGTTTGAACAAAATCCATCTGTAAACAGCCGAGAAATGCTTGAATTTGATGATTTTTAGAACAAAAATGGCCGTCATTCGGCCATCTTGAATGAGATCGTGTAACAAATTGATGTGCATATGTATAATATCATGTATGATGTATGTGTGAAGTTTGATTGTGGTTGGTCCAGGCATTTCTAAGATACAGGTCCGGACGCATGCACAGTTGCACGGAGGTCAAAACATAAGTTTGACGGGGACTAAAAAACATAAACATTGCGCACGATCATAACTATAGCAGTAGTTTATCGTCACACGAAACCTTCAACAAGAAGCCTTAAACATAATTATGACAACTTTTTTTAATTCACATAAATGCGCAACTGGTTTTTGCAGATTTCTAAAAAATTTGTCGCTATCAGTTTGCCCTCACTACGTACATGCGCAAGTTCTGATGATGTCACTTTAAATTATGCGCAGTTGAAATACACTACAGTTAAGAAATCGCCTAAACACTACTTTTTATTTAATAGAAGGCAAACAAATTTTAGCATTCAATCATCATGAGAATTAATGTAAAAAAATGTATTTTCGCTGCATTTCATTTTCGCTGAAAGAACATTTTGGCTGTCTTGTATGGAGTTTATTCTCACTGATTTTTGATGAGTTGAATGTAAAGTCATTCCTTCAGCAAGTGAAATTAATGTACTTTACACTATTACTACACTATACGTAATACTTACACAAAAAAGAATCTTGTTGTAACATGCTCCTGATTCGGGCACACCCAAATATTGCCATTTTTACGAATATCTTTAGAACAAATTACTGTGAAAAGAACATCGTTAGATAGGATCAATAACTGCAATGAAACTGTCACTTATTGTTGTTGTTTTTTTTCGAGCACACACAGTAGAACCCAGAAAGAACCTCACTGACGGCTTCTCACTGATGATTTTATGGGTCACTTTCAATAATAATATGCATCATAATTTTCTACAGTCCTCATCACATGACTGATTTCAACAATGGCGACGACTCAAGCATTCACATGACACTTCAGATCATATTTTGTGTGATATAGCCTTGTGTAGGGTTACTTTTGTCCATGAAATTGTGTCTAAAACAATATTTCGATGAGAATTGGTCATCTCTATGTGGATAACAAAAAATGTTAAAAAAACAGCTATTGTCGCTTTAAGGCAGAAATTATATTTTACTTTTACAAATTCTAGCAACAAAAATTATGTTGTTCATTTCGTTCTTTTAATATAGAAGATTAACGATAATGACTAACTTGCAAGTAGTGCAAGTAGTAGTCTAAAAACATAAC